GAATGGTTCCAACTTAGAAGAGACCCATAAGGACAGAAGTCCAAATCTCGGCTCCACACAATACAAAATACAACACACAAAATCCAAATCCTATGTCTGAGAGCAGCATCCCAATGCCCCTTGAACTCCTGCACTCAAGGCCATGCCCACAGCCCTGGGCATTCAGTTCCACGCCCACCGCCCTGTGCTGCAGACCCTGTCCTGACCCCCAGCTGCCCTCCCCTGACAGCTCCATGCCGTTCCCTCGGCCCTGTCGCTGTCACACAGCAGAGCTCAGCGCTGCCCCTCCGCTCCCTGTGAGGAGCTGCAGCCGCCATCAGGCCTCCCCTCAGCTCCTCTCTCTGCGCTGAGCAAACCCAGGGCCTCAGCTGCTCCTCACACACCTTGCCCTCCAGACTTTTCTCCATCTTTGTAGCCCTCTTTTGGACACTCCATCTCCTCAGACTGTACTGCACAAATGCTCATCAGTATATGTTCTCACCCCACTTTTTTTCTTCCCCCCAAAACTCAGCAGTAATAGAATCAGTATTTCCTAGTTTGCTTGGTTTGGCACTCTCACAGGTCCTAAGAGTACTGTTCTTCATTCAAGGATTCAAGTCTTCAAAAAAACTCTGTTAATTAGAAGAAAAAAAAGAAGTCCAGCCCACTTAAGTATCCTGAAAACCCAAACATGAAAACAAAATCAACAATTCAGTGAATCCAAGTTAATTAGCACTTTATGCTTAGTATTTTGCAACTACTTCTTGAGTTTTTCAAAGCTCACTAGAATGGAGCCAATTATTCCAGCTCCTTCTGAAATGAATGTTTTTGTGTCTCAATATTGCTATAGGTGGCTGGAAATCTTAATTACTTCTTTGCCCATTAGCAATAATCTTTCAAAACAGACAACATCTGACTTTGTTGTTTACAGGTATGTGGCTTTAGAGATTATCAGAAAACTAAGAGATGTGTAGATGTATCAACAAGGAGTTCTGCTTTCTTTGCAGGTAACCTTCAAAGAAAAGAGCACTAAAATATTCTGAAAGACACAGTGAAAAGTTTCTCAGAAACATTTCTCTGCTCCTACTGCAATGGTTTCAGGACTGGAAGAAAGTCAGGTTTATTTTTCCATAAGCATAAAAAGCCAAGCTTGTTTTTCCTCACTACCATGTGTACAGATGAGGAGTCTCATTATTTTTGCAGGTAGTAGGAAAGTAAATCTCTGACTTAGCTATGAGGCATTCAGAATCTCTGGTTATTCAGGTGTCAGCAGCCAAGAGCAGCAGTTGCTCCTGCAGAACACCAAGATGCACAGCATGGAAGTGATGCAACTGGAAGAAGATGGTGCTGAAAAAATAAAAATACCTTACAAACAGACCACAAGCTGGCAGGGCAGGAATCCTAGAGCCCCAAATGGCAGTGAAATGAGTGCCTTCATCACTGGAACATTGCCACTTCAAAGAAAGGAAGAGGTGGTACAAGATGGGACAGACTGTTGGATGCTCTACTGGAGCTTTGTATGTAACACAACAAACACCCTATTTATCCCCATATTGCTCTATGGCCACAGAGTTCATCTGGCAGCAATATCAACAGTATTCTCCAAGTATATTTCCTGGAAATACAGCCTGGTTCAAAGGGACTTCATTTCTTTTCTCCAAAGTGAAGTAAGATCTGAAAGTGCTGTTGAAGTGTCACCAGATTCAGTAGACACCTGGCACTCAGTATTTTGGCAATGAATGTCCCCATGAGATTCCCTCACCCCCACAACAATAAAGGCTCATCTCTTCCGACCTGAGCATCACTTCTGCATGAGCTGCTTTAATGGTGGTGCATGAAAACTGTGGCTATAAACAAAGCCACCATTCAGCCACAGCCAAAGAGGAGACATTATAATCAGGCTACATTTAAATGTTTTCCCAGCATTACAGTAAGCACAGTCTTCATGAAGGCTTTTGTACCATAATACCTTGCCACAGAATCCAGAACACTGATGCTTTTGCCACGATGACACACCTATGCTGTACACAACCCAGCCCAATCCAGAGGCTGCCCATGGACAACCCCTGTGCCTCTGGCTTCAGCAGCCTCAGGAGGGCCTGCTCTTCTCCAGAGAGCTGGCTTGAGCTACTGAGGCCAGAGAAGAAAAGGGCCAATCAACCCCAGTTCTTCTCAAGTCTGATTCTCTTGTCCTCTCAGGCCAATTCTCACCTTAATCCTCTTAATAGTAGCATATGTTACATCTCCTTTCTTTTTTTTTCCTTTTCTTTGCCGTCATGGTTCTTACAAAAATAAATAAATAAATAAATAAATAAATAAATAAATAAAATAAGATAAAATGGCATTAGCTGTCTTAAAAGCAGATAAAATGCCTCCCAAGAGCTTCTACTTATTCTGCTCAACCTCAGTGTCTTTTCAGACTCTACATCTGGTCTGATTTTTGAGTGGTGCTGTGTGGAGCCAGGATTTGGACTCAATTATCTTTATGGGTCCCTTCCAACTCAAGATATTCTATGATTCTATGATTTGCAGGCTTCATTTCCATATTGTTATTGTCTCTCCAGAGCCTCTGCTTGGGGAGTGTGCATTCCAAAGGTGCCAGAAGTGACCTCCTTGGCAGGCAGAGCTGTGAGTCCATGAAGCTTCATCCCACGTGCAGACTGCCTCTCCCTATACTTTAGTATCCTTGTTCCCCATTAAATAGTGTGACTCTTGCATAGCTTCCTCTGTATTTATTAGGCACCAAGATTAATTCTATTCTGGAAAGTTTGCTTCTCAGCTGCCTCTTGAAATAAAGGGAGACTGACCATGTTTTAAGGGCAATCTCTTAAGCTCAGCAGCAGAAGGGTCTCTTTCAGACCCAGTAGCTTTTTACAGGAACCTCAAATATTTTAATTCAATTTTTCAGTAGACTTTTCTAGACTTTTTTTTTCTGACTTTTTAGAAGTCAGAGGTTGGGGTCCTCCTTGTCAGCCCTTGTAAATGGTTGGAAATCCTGGCCTGAGCTGCAGCTCCTTGCTCAGCCCACTCTGTGCTGCTGCCTGGCACAGCAGATGTGCTAACGCTACATTTCCCATAGTACTGTTACGGGGAAATGCAAATAATGATGCGATGCCACAGTGTAGTCTCTGCCAGAAAAACAATGTGTAAATGTATCAAACTGTGGCAGTTATTCACCCTTATCTAGCTGCATGGATTCTATTCTATTCTAGGTAGATATTTTGAACAAACAGCTCATTCTTAGATTGTTTCTGCTAAAATTTGAGTCTTTTAGGAGGCTGCTGCGCGTACGTAACCTATGCTTTCCATTTGCGTTGCTCTATACCCACATGAGCCTGTTGAATTCTCCAAAGAATATCAAATTGCAGTGCACTTTGCTTAGCCATTCTGTTCCCTCCAAAGACCAGGCCATTCTTCACAGCAAACTCCAGTCTGAATTGGTAATGCAAGCTTGCTGTGTAATTCCCTGACTACTTTACAGTGACAGCCTTAATGCCTTTTTATAATCTCTCATCTTTTACTGTGCCTCTGCAAATTTATTCCGTATTTCTGAGAGCAAGCAATTCCCTTTTCTCATATTTATATGCATTATATTTCTGGGTTTCTTTATCTTGTGTAAGTCATGTTTTCAAACCTAATACTGGCTCTTTTTTTTTTTTTTTTTTTTTTTTTTTTCCCAGCAGCTGTAACAAACTAAATATGTAACGAAGAATATAAGAGCAGGACAAATATGCATCTGTGCCTGACTTGCTCTCACTGCTCCTCCAAGGGAGCAAAGTCATTTTCCCCACAACATTTTCTAAATGTCTTTGCAGGTTTATAATATAACTTGCATAAGCTGCTGTTGTTATCAACACAGTTATTTGAAACATAGGCATTATTGCAGCTGGGAGAAAAATTAAACCTTATGTCCTGCTTGTGAGGGGGACCATCCTAGAAACACATCCATTCTGTGGATTTTGAAAGATTTTACGTGATATTCTCAATCTGAACTTTTATCCAATTGGCTGGTTAAACCAGCAGTTAGGCTCTTGTTCCAGAAAATTTTAATTTAGTCCCATGTATAGCTTGGTGACATTAATTATTTCACTGTCTCGGAACTAATCCACATGTCTAAGCAGTTTGCAGATATATTTTGAAACACAGCCCCTATGAATTCCCAAGAACAAAGTGGAATGAATCATTTATTTTCTCTCTAACATGTTAGCTCTGCCTATCAACAAGTCTCTGTTCGTCCATCAAATCCAGGCCGAACGGATATTTAGGCAGGAACTAGAACTGCTCTGAACACACAAGTAGAGGTTCAAAGGCCATTGTACGGTTGTAAATATGTTGTATGGTTTACCCAGGAATTTGGGTTGTCTCTCAACAGTCTCCAAACTGACAGGTTCAGTAAGTCCCACCTAAGTAACTAAAGACTGCTGTGGTTTCACATTCCTGATAGCGCAAGCATAAGGCCAGATTTTCCTTTTCCATATCAACATCAAGCGTGAAATCCGTCTTTTTTCTTTCAGTTTGGTAACCGTGACATAATTTAATGCGTCATGTTTGCATGCACCCCCTCTACTGGGTTTCTAAAGTGAGCCTTGGTATGAATTCTTCTGGTAGTTTCCAATTGCAATCCAAATTTTTGCTTTTGCAGAACAAGACACAACTGGATGTCAGAGACCTGCTAGGGACCAGATGGATCCCAGGTTGTGACTGTACTGCTCAGGGATTATGTAAAGCAAAAGCTATTGCTTCCTTAGGGAGCATCCTACAACTTCCTCTCTGAGCTGGGATACAAGCTAACTCTGCACTGTTTAAAGGCAGTGCTGGTAGGATTCCTTAACAGAACAAAGTCTTTTCCTACAATAGTGAGAAATTGTCTTGTTAAGACTTTCGGTATGGTTTACTCCAATTTTATTGAGCTAGATCTTAAGCTGTTAGTATGATGATTTTCTCTACTTTTACTATAGATCTTTTCAAATGTAATAGAGGAATTAAGGTTTCTTCTGGGACCATG